GTGCCACAAACTGATCACCTCCATGCCACGCCGAATTGAGGCAGTAATTAAAGCAAAAGGAGCCCCTACCAAGTATTGAGTACATGTACAGTAAATGAACATACTTTCCAGAAGGCCAACAATTCACTAAAAATGTTTTTATTTTTATTATGAATTATTCTAATTTGTTGAGATAGTGAATTGGTGGATTTTTGTTAAATGTGAGCCAAAATCATCACAATTAAAAGAACCAAAGACTTAAACTACTTCAGTCTGTGTGCACTGAATTTATTTAATACATGAGTTTCACAATTTGAGTTGAATTACTGAAATAAATGAACTTTTCCACGACTTTCTAATTTATTGAGATGCACCTGTATACTGTTAGGTGAAGGCCCCCTACTGTCCTTTTTTTGGAAATCTAAAGTATGGTCATCCTATTATAAATATACTTAATTATTATGAAAATACCAGAGATGGCTTAAATAACACAGATAAACTATATTGTCGCAGTCGAGTGTTTATTGTCTGTGTTTTATCATTCAAAACGTTTATATGTTCTGGTTACTCAGTTACAGCTATAATAGCAATGCCTTTGTCCATATAAGGGATTTCCTGGAGGGTCATGAGATCTCTACTTCTGTGACTGGATATGTGGATTTTCTGTGCGAGGGCGCCCTCTGGCGTCCAGTATGAATGAAACGGACATCATGTGTTTATAGTGCTAATGGACAATTCATCATTTTTTTGGGAATTTTTATTTATTTATTTTTTTAATAAGTATCGGTTTAGGCACCGAAACCGTTTAAACAGACATCATGTGTTTATAGTGCTAATGGCCAATCCATCATTTTTTGGGGGAATTTTTATTTATTTATTTATTTTTTAATAAGTATCGGTTCAGGCACCGTTTAGGCACTGGAACCATTTTAAAAGTATCGATTTGGCACCGGTATCGAAAAAAAAAAAAAACGATACCCAACCCTAATCTTTACGTTATGTGATTTTTTGACCACGGCCAAATTCTTTTTAACACAACAGATTTCTAAGCACAGCCAAGTTCTTTTCAGAACAATGGATTTATATATTGCCCAAGCTCTATTTAAGCGAAATGGCCTATGTAGGCACGCAAAGCAGCTGTGTACCGAAGACATGCAAATGGATTTAGGGTTTTTAGCACCTCTGTTGATTTCAGCTTTTTCACAGTGAGCTTCAAGAGTGAATGTTCAGTGGAGTATTGTGCTTGGATATAAGGTGAGAATTGAGCTCCATTGAAGTTACGTACTTGTGTGAGCACACACTGACTAACTGTCTGCTTAAAATGAGTCCGGTCCCCAGGGTGTAAAAGACTGGCATAGGGTTGATGGCCTGGTGTGCCGTGTTATTTCCTCAAAGCATTAATAGCATTCATGGCGAACCAGCGGATCACAGTGTGACTGCGTCTGGGCTGCATCTTCAGCAGAATCACCTAGACTTACTCAACACTCTTGTCTGTGGCACAGATTGTTCTCTCGTTAAGTTTCAGTTTCAATTTACCTTATAACACTGGTCTAAATCAGTCATGAATATAAAAGCAGTCATGATGTGCTATTGCCTTACTGTGTAAATTAAATCTTATTTAATATTATATAATATATAATTAAAAAAAATAGTTGTGCTTTCAGCAGTCGTGGATCATAGCATACGCTCATATTTTCTTCAGAATATATACATATCTATTATTATTATCATTATCATTATTATTATTATTATTATTATTATTATTATTATGGCTGTGTACATATTTATTTGTAATAGTATGTTATGAGGTTTAGGCAAGAAGAAATGTATAAATAGCATTTATTATTTTCTTAGGGTTATGGATATGTATGTCTCTGAGTGTTAGATGGTGAAAGTAGAACACAGCCACTCATTTATTTCAGTAAAGTGTTCAACATGGCCCCCACCAAAATTCCAAAACGTCTCCTGATGTAATTCATCTTGGCGCCAAGTTTTCAGTCCATACCTGCTAAGAGAGCACTGCTGTCAAACCAGGACTTAACTTAAACCCTTATGTTTGAATATATGTGGGAAAGTCATCATTAAAGTATACAGGAGCGGTGTGCCTTCCTGAAATAGTTTGCTGTCATGTTATGATCGATTGCCTGCCATCTGCAACATCTTAGTGTCAACGTTAGGTGTCTTTGGTGACATAAGTGTCTGTGGGACTGTTTGAGTGATAGAGGGTTTGGAGTGAACGTTCATGTAAGCAATACATCCTTAAAGCTTTTAAAGGTTTATTAGCAGAGAACTGATATGCATCTGAAGTTGAATCTGACCATGACCAGGAATGCTGCTACCTAAGTCTTTAAAAAGACAGCAAGGAAAAAAGATGCAAAAAGTGAAGCAAAGAAAGAGATATAGGAATGTTCACATTGGCATACTGCTATACTATTTCACATGGCATGGACTCCACAAGACCTCTGAACGTGTCCTATGGCATCTGCACCAAGAAGCAGCAGAACCTTTAAGTACTGCAAGTTGCAAGGTGGATCCTCCATGGATTGGATTTGTTGGTCCAGCACATCTCATAGATGCTCAGTTGGATTGAGATCTTGGGAATTTGGAGGCTAAGGCAACACCTTGAACTCTGTCATGTTCCTCAAACCATTCCTGAACAATTTCTGCACTGTGGCAGGTGCATTATCCTGCCGAAAGAGGCCACTATCATCAGGGAACACTACTGCCATGACCGGGTGTTTGTAGTCTGCAACAATCTTTAGGTAGGTGGTATGTGTCAAAGTAACATCCACATGAATGCAGCCTGCAGAACCCAGGGTTTCCCAGCAGAACATTGCCTAGAGCACAACACTGCCTCCAACGGCCTGCCTGCTTCCCATAGTGCATACTGCTGGCATCTGTTCCCCAGGTAAACAACGCACACACACACCCAGCCACCCACCCACCCACTTGATCTAAAAAAAGTGATTCATCAGACCAGGCAACCTTCTTCCATTGGTCCAGTTCTGATGCTCATGTGCCTATTGTAGCTACTTTCGGCAGTGGACAGGGGTCATTATTGGCACTCTGACAGGTCTGTGGCTATGCAGCCCCATAAGCAGCAAACTGCAGTACACTGCGTGTTCTGACACCTTTCTGTCATTGCCAGCATGTAGTTTTTCTGCAAGCTGAGCTATAGTAGCTTTCCTGTGTGATCGGGCCAGCCTTCATGGATCAGATTTGTTGGTCCAGCACAGGGGTGCCCAAACTCGGTCCTGGAGGGCCGGTGTCCTGCAGAGTTTAGCTCCAGCTTGCCTCAACACACCTGCTTGGAAGTTTCTAGTATGCCTAGTAAGACCTTGATTAGCTGCTTCAGGTGTGTTTGATTAGGGTTGGAGCTAAACTCTGCAGGACACCGGCCCTCCAGGACCGAGTGTGGGCACCCCTGGTCCAGCACATCCCATAGATCAGGGGTGTCCAACTCAGTTCCTGAAGGACCAGTGTCCTGCTGAGTTTAGCTCCAACCCTAATTAAACACACCTGAACCAGCCAATCAAGGTCTTCAGGATTGCTAGAAATGTTCAGGCAGGTGTTTTGGAGCTAGTTGAAGTTGCACTCTGCAGAACAGTGGCTCTCCAGGAGTGGAGTTTGAAACATGTGCCTTAGGTGCCCAATCGGATTGAGATCTGGGGAATTTGGAGGCCGAGGCAAACCTAGAACCCCTTTTGTCATGTTCCTCAAACCATTCCAGAACCATTTTTGCAGTGTGATAAGGAGCATTATCC